TTKGTATGTGGTGCTGAGGATCGAACCCGGGCGGCACGCATGTCAGGCGAGCGCGCTACCGCTGAGCCACATCCCCAGCCCTATCAAGCATCTTTTAACAAGCACAATATAAGCACTCACTCCATTGCCATGATTAGGGATATTCTTAGACCTTCTGGTGTTGACACACAATGTCCTGTTTCTGTTTTCACTTATGTAACCATGTGACTCATATTTGGCCTCATGCTCTACTGGTCTCAGTAATAGAATTTTGTCTATAATGCTGCTTTTAATTGACATCTTTAGTAGAAAATAAAATGCCAACCAATTTATTATAAAAGGGAATCTAATTAAAATGACAAAGAATCTAAGGGCAAGARTATACCCAGACCTTAGAAATCACTGGATCCAGGAAGTGAAAAAACCTACGGGAAATCCAATCAGGGGTGTCTCTTGACTCTTTTTCTGTCCATGTGTCTATATCATGCCTCATTTGTGGACTGGTTGCTTGTTGGTATAACCTCCAGCATACAGTGCAAAAGTATACTTGTTATAAGTCATTCCTAGATAACTTATTTCCATTTTTATATCCCCTCTCCACCTTTTTCTTTCCTTCATGTCCTCCAAATTTCTGGATAATTAACTCATCTTGGGGATCAGGGATATACCATTCGTCCAGTCAAGTATGGCCARAGGGGTAGGGTCATGTTCTGGCACCAAGTTTTTATTCCATGGATGGGAGAAWAGGGTCCCATGTGAAAAACTATAAAGATGTTGCTGTGTGCTGTGAAGCTATTCTCAAGGTGACATCAAATCAGAAAAACATGGGAACAGAAGGGTTTTTATTGTGAAACTGTTTTCAACATGCACAAGAAATGAAGACATCCATATAATGAGCCCCAGGGTCAGACATAACACTTTAATATATGTCTCCAAAATTTATGGCTTAATTCACATAAATATATTGCCACTACTTCACCTGAAAAAATTAAACATAATTCCTTGATATCATCTACTATGGAACCAATGCTTAAGTTTCCCCAATGACAGAAATTTTCTTTTTTATATTTGATTTTTCAAACCAGAATCCAAACAAGATCCYCATAAATCTCTTTCAAATTAGAGCTGGACTCACCCCATATCTGACTAAGTTCTTATGACTTATAAATAAACAAATTCATTGTTCTATTCAGGAATTGGATTGGCTCATCTGCTTCTTCATAATGCGTTCTAATTTATTGCTTTGTTCCCATAAACTAGAAGGGTATGATTAGTTTCAGGATCAATTTTTTGGAAAACATCCTTCATAGTAGTGTTGTATGTTTCCTGCTGCATCAAAAAATAAGGTGCTCAATGTCTGGGTAACCTTCTATTAGGGATGCAATGGATTCAGGCAGTAAAAGCTTTATCCGTCTATTGGAAAGGTAATTATTAAATGTTTTCCTAAAGTTTTCATCAATTGCTGCTGGGTAGGGTTGCACACACATGTAGTCCCAGTGACTTGGTAGCCTGAGGCAGGAGGATCACAAGTTCAATGCCAACCTCACCAACTTATCAAGGTTTTGAGCAATTTAACAAGACCCTATCTCTAAATAAAATATTTTAAAAAGGGCTGGGGATGTGGCTCAGTGGTTAAGCACCTCTGATTTTAATCCCTAGTACCAAAAAAAAAAAGAAAAAAGAAAAGACATGCCCTTTTACATTTTAAAAATTTTTAATAAAACAATTACATGATTTCGTRTTCAAAACTATATAATAAGTTTCACTTAGAGAAGTCTCACTTGTATGCATGTTTCCTCCCTGTCCTCATAGACTTCTTATTTTTACTTGGTTTTAATTCTGTTCTTCCAGTGGGTTTTGTGCAAATTTGAAAAAATATAAAGATTGATATATTTGTTTATATGTCCCATACTTTACATGCTATTATGAGCTTTACTATTCTACCTAAACTATGTATTCTGAAGATTGGTCCAAATGAGTATATAAAGATCTTTCTCACTCTATTTTAGCTCTGTATAGTAATATTGCATTATTTAGATGCATTTCAGTTTATTCACTTAATCTTCTATTCACCAGTCTTTGGGTTGCTTGTAATCTCTTCCTACAATTTGCATGAATCTTTTTGTATTTTTGTCTGTGTAGTTTTTTTTTTTTAGATTCCTAGAATGGAGATTATTCTATTTWGAAGATAAATATAAGTAACTTTACTAGATATCGCCAAGCTCTCTTCAATTGGAGTTGCAACCATTTAGTATTCCAACCAATAATGTTGTAGATACAAAGAGGCAAGGCACTGAAGATAGAAGGAARCAGTTTGATTTGGCTGCAGCCAGGTTCAGAGGGAACAGCTTTTGCTGTAATCAATCAATCCCCTGAACCCCGAGTTCAGGTAGTTTCAGAGTTTTATACCCAGCATGTAAGGGGAGGGGGCTCAGAAGTTCAGAGTCTGCAGAAATTCACATAAAAGCAGCTTTTTCTTTCACTGTTTTAGGCAAGTTAACCCTTCCGGGACAGCACCTGAGAAGGGGAGAGCTTCTTCTCCCCTTTCTTTCTTCCTCTGCCAGCTGTTACTATGGAGCCAAATTGGTAACTTATCTTAAAAATATAGACATCTCTCTCTGAAGCCCAGCTCAAGGCCAGAGGCCTTGTTTGCACATTTCTACAAACTACTATATTGGATATGATTATGAAAAACTAGTAAGGGAGTGGCTAGCACCTAGAGTGCTGATTTCTTCCTGGCCAGTGGCCAAGTAAAATAGGGCAATATGAAAATAGGAAGTTTATCTACATTGATCTCTTTTGCATAGACTCTTTTGCTGACAGTCCTAAAATCAGCTGTGGTGAAGATTTCTGGAGAAACCCAGTTAAGACTTTTCTGTGGAAAAAGAGGGTGCCATTACAATAATACATGAGACATTCTATTTACTCCCACCATGACCAACCCAGTATGTTTTCAAGCTTCTTATTTTTACCAGTATAAATGAGAGATGTTACTTCTGTATGGGTTTAATTTGCATTTCTCTTGTTATAAGTGARGATGGGGAAGTAGGTTTTCAGTAAGGAAGAAAAGGCAAGAAAGCCCCTGTGATAGCAAAGATCCTGAGGATACATTCAGTCATTTTCTCTTTTATGTTAAAAAAACATCTTTAGATATACTCCATGCTTGTATGTCAAAGTAGACACTACTGTCATGTATAACTAAAAATAATAAATAAAAAATTTTAAAAACAGGCATATCTAAAATATTATATTTTTWAAAATATTTTATTGATTTTATTTTTTAAATACATGAAAGCCATGGAATGCATTTCAATTCTTATTACACATATAGAATACCATTTTTCATATCTCTGTATGAAACATCTAAAATATTATACAAAACGACCTTCGGTTATGTGTATAAGATATATATGAAACATAAATAAATTTCTTGCTAGAAGTGGGAAAAAATATTTACCCCAACTTGGTACTAAATTTTCTCTTTCATCAATGATTGTTTTCTTGGCTACTACCATAATTCCCAGTGGGTTAAGCAGCATATTATCCARGGTCACACAAGAAAAGTTATATTTGAAGGCATATCTGTCTTCTAACAAATTAATTGATCAATTAACTCCATTATACCAATAACGGGTCAATGGGACTTCCAAAGAACAAGGATCTGTTACAAGGAAATTCCATGCAGAAAATATCACAAGCGTGTTGTAAGCAAAATAACAAGATGAAGTACACATCTGAGTTAAGAAGTTTAAAGAAGGATAGTCATAAACATAGCTCTGTTTTTAGATATGTACTCAAAATACATAGTGATTTCCAATAGATATTTTAGGGAGGCAGTGAGTAAGGAGGGGAATTCTAAAATTGACTTTGTGTGCTGGTAATTGAGAGGTAAAGGCAATTGAATTTGAAACACTAAATGACAGATATGCTTGCATAAGCTTATTCTACCTGAAATTGATTAAAAGCAATTGATAATACATAGATCAGTGTAGTTTTTTTTCTTAAAGGCCTTTGAAATTACTTTAGGGCTAACTCTGATTCTCAGATAACAGAAACCACACAATTACCTACCTTCTCAAGATTGTCATCTGATCAAGGTTGGAAAAATTCCACAGGAAAAATAAAAAAGAATGTTCACATCAAGTAGGAGTTTTAAGCAGATTAAACATTTTTGTCAGATCAGATAGTCTTTTCTTGGTCTTTCTTTATGGGACACATCACTGCTGGCCTTCAGAATGGGGACTCAAAGGACCTGAGGGTCTCCAAACCCAGTTCTAGTTTCTCTTTCTCTCTTTTTTTTTTTTTTCCATCTGGAAAAAAGCATTCTTGCACTGTCTTGCATAACCAGATATTTCTCTCAGCTGCTTCTTTGTTCATTAGTGGATAGAATTCTGTGCATGGAAAGTGCTGTTTTTTCTTGTGGTGTCCAATTGCTTTCTATTCCCTTTGATGTTTACATTTTTCATGCCATTTCACTTGTAGAAGTGCTCCTCATTCAACTGGCCATTATGTCTGAATACATCCAACTCTTTTAGCATCCAAATGCTTTTTGAATATCCACTCTGAGCTAAGCTAGCCTAATGAGTGGCAGCTTTGGYAGAAGATGGGTACCCATTAAAAGCAAAATCAGTGGTGTGTTCCTTGGAAAGAAAAAACAAGAGCCAGAGAAGGTAAAAACTGATGGTAGGTGGTGACGTATAAACTGCAACACAGTTTCAGGGAGTTTGTCTTCAGTGTTGCAGYCCCAGTCATGGCATCAGATTCTACTGTACTCGAATGTGTTCTCACGTGCTTGTGTGTGAGTCACTTATGGGCTAACATGGGTTGGTCACTTTATCACCCACACTATTCTCATTTCCTGAATCTTGTGAAGCTCACTGAGCTCCATTGAGCAACCCCATCTCCTTCCCACCCAACTAGCCTCTTTAAGCCAGCTGCCTCCTCTTCCCTGTTCAGAGCCATCCCGTGGCTTGGAGTTGGATTTCAGGTTAACAGGCCACTAAAACACAAGAAGGGTCTTCATGGATCTACCTTACTACCACGGCCCTCTGACCAAGCGAGACTGTGAGATCTTATTGCTCAAGGAAGGAGAGGATGGCAACTTTCTGCTAAGAGACAGCGAGTCTGTGCCAGGAGCCCTGTGCCTCTGTGTCTCGTGAGTAGCCTCATTTTCAGCACATTAGAAATCTGGCTTTGGTTGCAGTAATGGCAGCCACATAGTCGAGGAATTGTGTTTCACTGTGTTGCAGCCCCAAATAGCTAGAAGCTTCCAAGACAGGACAGAAGGGATGTRCCCATTGCTCTTCTACCTGCTCTCCTCTCCCTAGTATAAATACCACATGAGCAGACTCTGTAGCAGCAGAATTGGCACTGGTGGGAAGGAAAAACATGTGAGGATAGAGAGAAGGTAGAAAAGTCAGAAACATCCTCTCCTTCACAGGTGCGTTTATTTGGTATGGAGAAGGGGCCCCTTATAAAATTCCAATCTGAAAGATTGTATTTCTGCTACAGCCTTTTTCAAACTTAAAAATACAAATGTTTCATATTTTGTTAGATTGTAAAGGGCTTCACCATAAATCATTTCTTTTCATTTTTCTTGTGGTATATCAAGAGAAGCAGAAGCAGTCAGCATTTTATCAGTAAAGAAACAGAAACCCAGATTTCTCAAATGACTTTTTAGTATTAAAATTTAGCTGGTATTTCCAGAGTCTATGCTAAGTGTAAGATTCTAAGCCAGAATATCAGAGGTATTTTGATGAAAGAAATTGTTTACACTCAATTTAGAAAGTCATCCTGAACAGATATCAGTGGAGATCCCCTGACTTTGTATATTTTCCTGTTTATAAAACTAAACCCTTTATTCTACCTATGAAAAATTAAAAATCAATTGTTTTCTATTATAGTGAAATTATTCATTGACACTTGTTAGAGCATGGGGAGAAAAACTTTATTTAGATCACTTGACCACTGCAATTGGATTTGCAGCAGGAAGAGGGATGGAGCTCAACTTTGAATGCAGCATTGGGCAAGTGAAAATGTATAACAAAGGAGTAGAGTCAGTAGATGGAAAAATTGCTAAGATAAGAAGAATTACAGCTAAACTACCCTAAAAGGATTCTAGGGGAAGACAGGCCAGAGTTATCATACATCAACTGGGGTGTGCTGGCAGATGRAGAACCTGATCAGACATTAAGGCTGATCAAATATTGAAGATAAGCATTCTTGCTAAATGGACTTAGCAGAGTTCTTTGATAGCTGACTTTTATAAGGAAATACACAGATGGGCTTAGGAGAAGGTTCAGAAGCCTGACTAAAGTCTGGCCAGACAAAGAATCTTCATCATTCTTTGGATAAGCTTGTGTGCTTCTTAGAACTTGAGAACTGTAAAGACAAAAGTGACTATAAATACTAAGAGAATATGTAAGGATATGTTCGATTCTTTAAATGGTGTTGGAGATACAGGCATGAGCCTGATAGCCCTAAGGTGTTCTCAGTTTACATTTTCAAGTGAAAAGTGATGATGAGAAAGTTTTTATATACATTTGTAGCCATTGGTAGTTTCTGCTTCAGTTTGTCCCTTCAGAGTTTGTGTGTTGGAAGGTTGGTTCCCAGTGTGGCAATGTTAAGAAGTAGTGGGACCTTTAAGAGATGAGTAAGAAATAAGACTACCCAGAGGTAATTAGTGTTGAGCAGAGGACATTTATGCTCATACTGATGCAGGCTTCTTAACCAGTGATGTAGCTCAAGATTTTACTAATAAAAATTTTCTTCAGAGTTGTGATTGCACAAATTGGGAAGGGTCTCAGTGTCTCTAGGAGGGCATCTATACCATCAGCAAAATTCTATCAGGCAAGATTGGGTAAATCCACATATGTTATGAAAAAAAAAAACTCCAAGATTTATTGTTGTTGAAAAGGCAAGGGGAAGGGGGGGGCATGGGGTTATAAATGATGGTGGAATGTGATGGACATTATCATCCAAGTACATGTATGAAGACATTAATTGGTGTGAATATACTTTGTATACAACCAGAAGTATGAAAAATTGTGCTTTAAATGTGAAATAAGAATTATAATGCATTCTGCTGTCATATATAAATAAAAAATAAAAAACAAGCTGCAAAATATGACCCCATGTGAGTAAAAATAAAAGAGAGAGAGAGAGAAAAAGACTRTGTTAGTCAGGCATGGTGGTGCATGTTCATAGTCTCAATAGCTTGGGAAGCTGAGGCAAGAGAATCACAAGTTCCAGGTCAGACTCAGCAAAATTTAGTGAAAACTTCTCTCAAAACAGAAAGGTCTGGGATGTAGCTCAGTGGTAGAGAACCCCTGGGTTTAATCCCCAGAGTAGAAAAAAAAATGTCTATAATGTGGTAACAGCTGGGGAATTTAGGAGTGATTGGGAGAAGAGTGTCGGGTTCACCTTTTCATTGATAACCTTATTTCCACTGTTCATCTGTTGTACGTAGGCATCTGTTTCTTTTTTCATTTTAAAACAACAAATTGTTTTTAATAGTTTATAAAAAATGTAGTGAATTCTCACTGTCTACCCAAACATTGTATTTCTGGGGGGAAATTCTACAGGAATTTCAATATAGTACTTGTTTTTGTTTGTTTATTTGTTTTACTGGGGATTGAACACAGAGGCACTTAACCACTAAGCTCTTTTTAGTTTTTTATTTTGAGACAGGGTCTCATTAAGTAGTTTAAGCCCTCATTAAGTTGCTGAGGCTGGCTTTGAACTTGTGATCCTCCTGCCTTAGCCTTCCAAGATGCTGGGATTATATGCATGTGCTGCCATGCCTGGCGCTTTTTTTTTTTTTTTTTTTTTTTTTAGGCAGTCCAAAATGTCTTAAATAAATAAAATAAGGATAAAGTAAAACTCCCAGAAAAGAGAGTTTTTATTTGAATTTAAGGACAAAATAGATGAGCAGGAAAGTCTTCCTAGGTAGATTGGAGATGGGACTTAGAGTGGATGCAATTTGGTTACAAGGAAATGAGGTGGAATGCATTTTTAGGGAGGGGAGGTGGTAGCAATATCCAAGTCAGATATTTTTAAGCACATACAACTTATACAGGTTCCTCAAAGGAAGTTTGAAAACCAGACTTTTGAAGAGTAGGTTGGGATGAAATCAAGGAATTTAAAAGGAATAATTCTATAGTAAATAGGAGGCACGAATGGTTTCTGAGCAGGGAAGTGCCAAGTTTTAGGAATTTCAAACTGACATGGAGAATGGACTGAAGTGGGAGATGATAAAAACAGAGATTGTCTTGCTTTTGGATGGGAGACAGTAAAGAACTCGATATGGTGAGACAAGTGGAAATGAAAAACACAAAAAGAAGGAGGAGGAATGGAACCTTCATTTATTCATTCAACAAGCAAACACTAAACACCTGTTAGGTTCCAAGTATGGTCCTCAATATTGGTAAAACAATGATACATTCTAGAGGCAATGTTTATGGTCTTATGAAGCTACATTCCAGTAAGAGGAGACAATTTGATGAAAACAAAAAACTTTATAGCCAGGAGTTATAAAAAGTTATAGCACATTCCTGTAATCCCAGTGACTTGGGAGACTGAGACAGGAGTATTGCAAATTCAAGGCCTTTGGCATACAAACCATGTCCAATCATAATAAAATTTGTGTAAGCAAATCTAAAATTACCATATAACATAAGTATTAGCCTGTTTGTCTACATAGTTTTTCTATATAGAAAGAGCCACCACATAGGTGTTTCCTATGAAGCAAACATTATGCTAAGCATGCTACATGGATTGTCTCCTTTGTCTTTTGCAAAGCTCTTTGAGATAGGTGACATTATCTCTATTTTGTGTGGAAAGAAACTAGAGCTTCTGATTTAATAATTTGCCCAAGGCCAAACTGTTCATATGTTTTTAGGTACTTTGCCTTTACCCATATCCCCTGCTCCACTGAACTATGTTCAAGGTAGTCACCTTGGAACTAGCAGAGAACTTGAGGGCTCAGCAGTCTACCCTAATGTGTAGAATCTTGTCTTTCTGCTTGCTAGAGATGAGCAGCTCCTTCTGCTTTGCTGCATTAGAATGGCAATATGTCAACTTCCATGTTTTCAGAGACCTAAACAAGGATAGATACTACAGTGAAGTTAAAAGCGAAGGAAAGAAGTCTCAGAGAGTATTTGCCTGGTGGCAAATAGCACTGGCCAGAAAGCTATGTGGTAAACATGGACAGGAAATGGTATCTGATCTCACAACATGATAGATTGTCTAGAAACCCCYGACACGCCAAACACCATCTATATTGTGTGACTTTGGGAGTATCAGGAAATTGAAAGTGGTTTTGCCTTTGCAATTTGTAAAGCCAAAATGTGGTGAGTATTAGGAGATGGAGAGGATTCATCTGTGGAGTTAAGGGAAAGGAGGGACTTTCTATAAAATGCTTCATTATACATGACAGTATGCAACCTATCTTTTTCAACATATTATACTTTGTAGCTCAGATAAAGTTGATACACATCATCTATTAATGATTGCTTAGTATTTCATTGCTTGTATATACCATAATTTAAACATAATCAAACACTATTTCTATTTTGTGTGGAAAGAAACTAGAGCTTCTGATTTAATAACTTACCCAAGGCCAAACTGTTAATATGTTTTTATRTACTTTGCCTTTATCTACTTCCCCTGCGCCAGGTAAGACTGCAGATAAGAAGGATTGGTGCCCAAACTCCTGTCTGTCCTTGCTCAGGAGTATAATGGCACTATGTTTCTGTTGTTCTGAGGAAGGTATTAAGAGGAAAACAGAAATTATTTTACTCTCACCACCTAGAAATCACCATTTAAAAAAAATTCAACACATATCTTTCCAGACTTCTCTTTATGATATATAAGCAAATATTTATGCACAGTTGAGCACAGTGGCACACACCTGTAATCCCAGCAGTTTGGGAGGCTGAGGAAGGAAAATCACAAATTCAAAGCCAGACTCAACAACTTAGGCCCTAAGCCACTTAGTGAGACCTTGTCTCAAAACAAAAAAATAAAAAGGGATGAGGATTTGGCTCAGTGGTTAAGCACTTCTAGGCTCAATTTCTGGTACCAAAACAAAAAACAAAAAACAAAAACAACAACAACAACGAAAAAACTATGCACATAAATGCTTCATTATACACG